ATCGAAACTCACAAGCCCCACCTCCCCACCCAGCACCTCCCAACCGAGCGACAGTCACCAGCACCAACCCCCCCCCTCGCACCCAGCGACAGGCATCAGCACCACCTCCCCACCCAGCACCTCACCACCCAGCGACAATCACCAGCCCCACATCCCTACCCAGCGATAGTCACCAGCCCCACCTCCCCAACCAGCGAGATTCACCAGCCCCACCTTCACACCCAGCGACAGTCACCAGCACAACAATCCCACCCAGCGACAGTCATCAGCACCACCTCCCCACCCAGCGACAGTCACCAGCCCCACCTCTCCACTCAGCGAAAGTCACAAGTCCCACCTCACCACCCATCGACAGCCACCAGCACCACCTTCCAGCTCAGCGACAGTCATCAGTCCCACCTTCCCACCCAGCACCTCCCCACCCAGCGACAGTCACCAGCACTACCTCTCCACCAAGCGACAGTCACCAGCACTCCCCTCCATCCAGCGAAAGTCACCAGCACCACCTCTCCACCCAGCGACATTCACCAGCACCACCTCACCACCCAGTGAAAGTCACCAGCCACACCTCACCACCCAGCACCTCACCACCCAGCGACATTCACAAGCCCCACATCATCAACCAGCGACAGTCACCAGTACCACCTCTCCACCTAGCAACAGTCACTAGCTCCATCTCCCCACCCAGCACCTACCGACCCAACGACAGTCACCAGCCCCACCTCTTCACCTAGCACCTCCCCACACAGCGACAGTCACTTGCCCCACCTTACCAACCAGCGACAGTCACCAGCACCACCTCCCCACCAAGCGACAGTCATCAGCAACACCTCCGCACCCAGCGAAAGTCACCATCCCCACCTCCCCACCCAGCACTTCCCCACCAAGCGACATTCACCAGCCCAACCTCTCCACCCAGCGACAGTCACCAGTCCCATCTCACCACCCAGCGACAGTCACCAGCACAACATCCCCACCCAGCGACAGTCACTAGCACCACATCACCACGCAGCGACAGTCACTAGAACCACCTCTCCACCCAGCGACAGTCACTAGGACCCCCTCCACCCAGCGAAAGTCACCAGCACCACCCCTCCACCCAGCGAAAGTCACCAGCATCACCTCTCCACCCAGCGACATCAACCAGCACCACCTCACCTCCCAGTGAAAGTCAACAGCCACACCTCACCACCCAGCACCTCCCCACCCAGCGACAGTCATCAGCACCACCACTCCACCCATCGAAAGTCACAAGCCCCACCTCCCCACCAAGCACCTCCCAACCGAGCGACAATCAGCAGAACAACCTCTCCACCCAGCGACAGTCACCAGTCCCATCTCACCACCCAGCGACAGCCACCAGCACAACCTTCCCACACAGCACCTCCCCACCCAGCGACAGTCACTAGCCCCATCTCCCCACCCAGCACCTCCCCACTCAGCGACAGTCGCCAGCCTAACCTCTCCACCTAGCGACAGTCGTCAGTCCCACCTCCCCACCCAGCGACAGTCACCTGCCCCACCTCACCACGCAGCGACAGTCACTAGCACCACCTCTCCACCAAGCGACAGTCATCTGCACCACCTCCCCACTCAGCGAAAGTCACCATCCCCACTTCCCCACCCAGCACCTCCCCACCCAGCGACAGTCAACAGCCCAACCTCTCCACCCAGCGACAGTCACCAGTCCCATCTCACCACCCAGCGACAGCCACCAGCACAACCTTCCCACCCAGCGACAGTCATCAGCCCCACATTGCCACCTAGCACCTCCCTACCCAGCGACAGTCACCTGCCCCACCTCACCACCCAGCGACACCTCACCGCCCAGCGACAGTCACTAGCACCACCTCTCCACCCGGCGACAGTCACCAGCACCACCTCTCCAGCCAGCTACAGACATCAGCACCACCTCTCCACCTAGCGATAGTCAC